AGTTTCCAAGTGACTTTGAGGCACCACTTTTAAGGGTATCAAGCCATTCATCCCTCCATTTGCTGTCTATCCAGTAACCTAAAATTCACACATCCACCAATCTAAACAGTCATCATCGAGCTGTTCAATTCTCAGTGCAATTCCACCAACTGTCTTAGGTAGTCTGGACTGCTGTAACAGGACATCCACAGACTAGGTGGCTTATAAACAACAAAAATGTATTTCTTGCAGTTCTGAAGGTTGGAAAGTCCAAGATCAAGGCACTAGCAGATTCGGTGTCTGGGGAGGGCTTGCTTCCTGGCTCACAGAAAACTAGCTATCAACAATCCACGTTCACATTCTGTCCAGCCTCCTGTGCCATCTAATCTGATGTAATCTAGTCTATCATCAGCCTAAATAGTCAGCATCCTAAATAGTCCTTTATTTATGTTACATACATCTATTCACTATCCTCACAATTCATTTATAATACAAAAGAATATTTAAGCTCTGGTACCCACCACACCCACCTCCCCTTTCTAAGGAAAATGGACACAAACATTTCCTTCTGTTTAAAGTTTCAGGCTTGTATCATGCATATTAAGTGAAATCAGTTTTACTTCTCTGGGCAGCAACCCTGACTGGACAAGGGTCTTGGAATTCCTCAACTAAAGGCAACTGTGTTTGTATGTGTAGAATATGTGATATATTATACATAAATATATAAAGATTATATATAGTAGCTTATGTGTGTATTACATATGGATACAATATATTCTATATAGATCTGTCACAGACATCCATACATATATAACTTCAATACCTTGCCATAAAACTCTGCCCAAACGAGGCTGTCTGTACTGGATGGTGATAGACTTAGCCAATCATGAAACATTCTCTTCCTTCATTCTCTCCCTTGGAGAGTGTGTATGCTCAATATCATTGAGAAGTCATGGTCGCTTCAAGCTCTAGTTCTATCCTAACAATGGTAAGCTATGTTCCAGTTTTCAATTAAGCCTGCTGAATATGTCTGCCTTGAAAGAGTGGGATTCAGAGTGAACCTACAGCTCAGACAGAGACAACTGTGCTGCTGGGCGTGACTGTGCAACCCTGCATTTAGTCCTCATTATCCAAGACAAATGTCAAGCTGCCTCTGCTGGAGAGTGGAGTTAGATGGCCACACTATATCTCATATCCTCCTTATTCACAGCTGATTTGAGCAGTTGCCACCTCACTGGAGGGAAGTTGCACCCATATCCCATCCATCAGCAAATCCTGATTACCTTCAAAATACATCCTAAACTGGACCACTTATCACTACCCTCACCACTGCCACCCTGGTCCAAGCCACCAACCTCTCTTACCTGGATTTCTATGGTAGCCTTGTAAGTGGTCTTCTTGTTTGCTTCCCATTCCTGCCTTGTCCCTTTCAGTCTATTCTCATCACAGTAGCCCGAGAGGTCCTTTTTAAAATCTAAGATCATATCACTTCTCTGTTGAATATCCTCTATTGCCTTCCCTCCTTTTTGGAGTAAAAGTCTAAGTCCTCACAATGGCTTGTAACACACTTCATGATCCATCCTCTGCTACCCTTCTGACCTCATCTTCCACCATCCTCCCAGTGTTCACACAATGTCAGCCACATTGGCCTCACTGATGTTCCTCACACAGTGCCACAGAGTTCCCACCTCAGGACCACTGCACTTGCCATGCCCTCTTCCTAGAGCATTCTTCCCCCAGATATCTTCACAGCTCACCTCACTTTCTTCAGATCTCTGCTCAAATATGACCATATCAGGGATACCCTCTCTGAGTGTCCTATATGCCGCAGAAACCCAACCCCTCCCCAAACTGCTCCCACACTTCTTACCCTGCTTTATTTTTTCATAGCACTTATTGTCAGCACACATATAACTGCCTACTGTCTCTCCTCATTAGAAAGTATGCTTCATAAATGCAGCAACTTTGTTTTGCTTGCTATTTTTCAACACATAGGAGCTTTGTTGAGGTACGAGCAATCACATAAATAAGCACTTTGTAAAAACTTGTGGAAGGAATGAGTAAGAGTGGCTGACAGTAGACCATGAGGAAGAAAATCAAGCAGAGGGAGCCTGTTGAGACGGAATGAGTACACAGAGAAATGCAGGAAAGAGAGGAACCTTGATGTCCTTGGGAGATGGAAAGAAGAGCCACTATTCGTGACTTTCCAGTTCCAATCTTCACGAGGCAGAGGCCTGAATGTTAGTGCTCTCTGCAAGGTTGTCCACTGTATTCTCACAATTGTTCCCCTCATTCTTGAAAATTTTGTTTTTTTTTTCTGTTCCTTGCAACAAAAACAACCTTGACTTGAGCAGTATCCTTCCAACCATCCATCTACCCATCTCTCCATCCCCACATGCCCTTCTAATCATTTATATTTCTAATCATCTGTCTACAAATCAGTCTGCTAGTCCATTAATCCCTATCAGCATCCATTATCCTAGAATCCACCCACCACCCATCGATCCATATAAACGACAACTGTCCATCCACATGTTACCCTTTCATAACCTCCAGGAAGAGTGGAGCCAGGTCATGAAGGATCTCATCACAGGGATAAGGCCATCCAACTTTAATGCTGAAAAGTGGGGAGCTAAGGAAGGATTTTGAACAGAAAAGTTACATAGTCAGATCTGTATTTTAGAAAAATAACTCTGACAGCTATGAACAAGATAGATAGTTCTTCCCATCTAAAAGCAGGAAGACCAGTTGGGGTAATATTAAAATATTCCAGATGATGAATTAGGGCAGAAGCACAGGGGCTTCAGAAAAGAAGATTCAAGGGAGAGACAGGGAAGCAGCTCTGGGAACAAACCCAAGCCAGAAGGGCAGGCCTAGACGAAAAACTGTCTAACAGGGGCCCTCAGTTTTGAAATCACCAGGCCAGCCCAGGCACTGTATTTGTCCCAGATCTTAAGTAGGACCAGGCTTCCTGCACATTCTGCACATTTGGGGCAGAGTTCCCCAAAAGACCAATCCAGAACCAGTCCTCTGGGATCTTCAGCAGAGCGCTCTATCCTACAGCTCAAGTCTCTGAGTAAGTGATATTTCCAGAGTACACAGTCCTCTGTCAACTGGTCTCACAGCTCAGCCCTGGCCACAGAAAGCCAGGGCCTGTTCTCTGTTAATTTTCTTCAACTCTTCAGAGGTTGGGCCTCTGTCCCAGTGAAGTCAGGGTCTGGGAGGCAGCCCTGGCTCCCTGCCCGCCCACGGAGGCTATATTTGGAGCAAGACAACTCCCTTTAGACACAGAGCTTGGGACCCACCCTGCAGAGCTGCCCCAACCAATTTTACTGAGTATCCACGCAGTGTGGGGGTCACTCACTTTTCACTTGGTAGTTCATTCATTTACTTATTCATGCCACAAACATTTATTGATCTGCTACTATGATACAGCAGGTACAACAGGATGTGTGGTGGGCACATATCGTATATGTATATATATGGATATCTCTAAGCAGGGATGGCAGAACATACTCTGGGTGCCCTCCCTCAGGGTTCAATGATGATGATGACTCACGCTCAGGTGTATACGGCATCTGTGGGGACCTGTGTGCAAGTGCATGCAGGCACGTGCTCTCTGAGGAGACAGCTATGACTCAGTGGCATGCGGCATCTGTGGCTACCTGTATGGATATGTGTCTGAGTTCAGGCATGAGCACAGGCGCTTGCTCTCCAGGGGGTGGGGTAAGTGGTTGTGACTCAGCTGCACATGGTGACTAGGAGCCTACAGGCCGGCTGTAACTTTATGGCTTTGCTTATTTGCCAAGCCAAACAGTCAGTATTGGGTGCAAATATTCTATCAGAGTGTGCATGGAGTAAGTCGTAAGCCTGGCAGGGACCTCCACCTCCAGCAGGCAGGAGAGACTCAACAGTCTAGGGCAGGAGGCATCTGCCTCCTGTGCCACCGCCCCCCCCCCCACCCCTGCCGGCCTCCTCCACCGCAGGTCCTACCCTCCCTCCCTTGCCCTCTCCACTCCTGCCTCCTGGAGGCTCAGCAAGCGCATCCCTCAAAGACTCCACCGTCATCCCTCACCCACCGATCTCAGGTGCACACACGAGACTAGGCCCAGAGGTACAGGGCTGTGGCCTTCAAGTGTCCAGCCCAATCCCCTTCTGTTCCAGCCCTCAGAACGGCGCCTTCCTCCAACATCCCAGCCCCGCTCCGGTGTAGCCTCGGCAAGCGCGCTCCAGGGCCCACTTCCCATCTCGGCGGCCGCAGACCCGCTGCCTCCCCATCGGTGCGGCCCCATCTTCACCTCTGAGCTCCTTGCCCCTCTCTCCCTGGCTGTCTCTGTCCTTATCTGTCCCGAGTCTATCTTTGTCTCTTCTCCAGCCGGGCTGTCTGCAGCAGAGGCTTCACCAGAGTGGAGGTGCTGACAGAGTGGGGGTGTGGGGAGGACACTCTGTGTCCCTTCTTGAGCCTTATCGGGAAAACTGAAGTCACTGCTCAGGGCTCAGGCTGGAATTTCGCCCTAGATGACCTTGCTGGGTCTGCTGGGGCCTCTGCAGGGACAGCCAGGGTCAAACGAGTCAGGAAACAGGCCCCTGCTAGTGGGCTGCCCGCCCGCCCTCGTCCCAATCAGGCCGCCCGCAGCGCCCTCCATGGGAGACGCCGGGGAGGGGAGAGGAGGGGGAGGAGAAGGGGAGGAGCGGCCCTGTTTTGAGCACTCGCGGGAACCGATGGGAGGCCGTGTGGGGCTGGCATCGTGACCACTGATGCCACAAGGCCACGGGGCCCTCCTCAGGGAACCGGGCGTAAATCCTCAGGGGCCTGAGGAGGAGCCGGGGCGGCCACCGACCACCTCCCCGCAGGCTGCAGGCAAGCGGCACGCCATACCCGGGGGGAACGCGGGAAGAGGCCCTCGCGTCAGGACACCTGGGCTTCGTCCCAGAGTCGTCACTGCTGTGTCCCCTTGGGCAAGTACCAAGTTCCCTGAGCCTCACTTTCCACATCTGGAACATAGGAAAATTGCGCCCACCTTTCGGGTCGTTGCAGATAAAATGAGTTCACGTCAGGGCTGGCTCTCAGGAGGCGCTCAGTGCCTGTGGCTTTCCTCCCCGGTGGGTCGAACCCCGAGGCAGGGGGAGCGAAGCGGTCATGGCTTACCGGACTATACCCTGGCCCGGCCCCGCGCGCCCATGTAGGGGCTGAGACCTGCGGGCACGGCGCACGCCTGCCATCTGGCGGACAAACCACCTGGTAGTGCGTCCCGCCCACGGCCGCGCGCATGCGCAGGCCTGCACCAAGATCCTGCCGCGCCCCGCCTTCCCCGCCCAAGGATCCCCCTCCCCCAGCCCAGGGAACCCCCTAGGCCACGCAGACCTGCGCCACTAGGTCTTTTCTTCCCCTCCTTCCCCGAGAAAGCGCGTGCATTTTGTCACCCCAGGAGCTGGGGTTATTTCAGGACCTGCAAAGGAGGCTCAGGATGGTGGGATTGGTCCTTAATGGAGCACCGGGGCAGGCTGGCGGCTGAACCGAGTGTTCCTGTTTCAGACAAACCTAAATGTAGGCCTGGAAGGCTGTGCACTGAAATCCTAGTTGGTGCAAAAGTAATTGCGGTTTTTGTCACTATAGGTTGTCTGCAGAGTGAGATTATGTCGAAGCATTTTACTCTCTTTACATATCTGCTTTTTCTCAATCTTCCACATTGGGTATGTATTGGTGATAAGAAAAAAAAAACTACAAAAGTTATTTTTTGAAAAAAAATCACATTGGGAGAGAGAAAGCGGGCTGAATTGGCCTATCAAGGGGATTCCAGAAGTTTTTGCCTTTCTAGTATCTGTTTGCATGTGGACTCCCAGGATTCCCTGGGAGAAACGGAGAAATGAAGCCCAGGATTTGAGGCATTGAGGTTGATTGTCCTATCTTTCACATAAGCTGGGATTAACTTCCTTTAAGAAAAAAAAGGAAGGAAAAAGGGTTCCCAGCCTTAGGGTAGAGTAGGGTAGAGGCTCCAAACAGACCAGAAACTTGAGAGTTGAGGTGGTCAGTCTCTGCTGTCTAGTTCAAGCTCTGTTTGGGCCCAAGGGGACCAGATGCAGGATATATTTTAGAACGAGGAATTTATTTCAGAAAGGGACCACTCAAAAGCCAGCATTTACTAAACACCTGCTTGGTACAGGGTGCTGAAACTACCACAACAAGGCTGCCCCTGCCCTTAAGGAGCTCTGGGCTGGCTTTTGGGCAAGTTCATCTGGGTGACGGGCAGTGAGTGAGTGAGGCAGATCAGCAGGAGTATCCCAAGTGCAGGAAGCATCAGCTGCTGGGCAAGGCCCTGGGAGGTAGAGTGGAGAACAGCTCTGGCCACCACCGCTAATGGCCACCAAGGAAGCCACAGGACCCTTAAGGGGAGAGCAGAGGCTGGAGGTCCTTGGGGTCTACTGGGAGGTGGCAGTCACAGGCCCTTGGGTCCTCTCCACAGCCTTGGGCCTTTCAAAGAAAAGGTGTGACTAGGGAAGCGTGTTGCTGGGCTGCTGCCCTCACCCAGAACCACATCTGTTCACTCATCCATTTACAGATTTGCCAGCTACCTGCCTTTGCTGGATACCTCAGAAGTTATGGACCTGCCTGTGGAAATGCAAGGAGCACCTGAGGTATCTCGCAAACTCTCCAGTAGTAGCCTTGAATGGCTGACCTACCGCAGTCACCTGCCAGATCTTCTCAGAACAGGCCAGCCCACCAGCAACATGGCCATTAAGTGGCCTGGCCAAGCCCAGATGGAAAACCCCTCTCCATGTGACTTTCTAAAGAACATTCATGAAGACAAAACACCAGGGCAGGGAAGTGAGTCCCTGTAATGTGGAGAAACCTGAACAGGATATGCATGTGCCTCACCGATGAGGGACAGGTGGTCACCGTATGCCTCAGGTGTGACATCCTGAGAACACATCACCCACCCAATATGACACCATAAGGTGAAACCACAGTAGAGCCCAGGTCTGTTTGACTCTGAAGTCCAGGCTCCTTTCCAACTTAGTGCCCTAAATGGGAAGGAGGCCTGATTGGGGTGGGGGTGGGGAGGAAGGTTCAAGCGCTGACCGTTTGTAGCCCAGGCTGGGAGGGCAACACCTCTAGAAAAAAGCCATTCACAGCTTTAGCCATCTTCCAGCTAACTGCACTGAGGTGTACAAGGCCTTGGGGCTCTTGGATGAAGTCTTCCACCTCTACACCTTGTAAACAAGTATTCCAGACCCACCCTCCGAATGGGAACAGAAACCCACATTTGGCAGAGTTGGACAGTAACGCTGCTCTCTTATCAGCCTGAACTTTGAGGGGAGTGGAAGACCGATGAGTGTGGAGGTGCAGCAGTCCTGGTATCCCCTGAAACCAGACTGTGGGAGGACAGTCTTCCCAGGGAACCTCCTCAGGATGGTCCTGGCCAATGCATCAGGAAGAAAAGGAAACCTAAGAGCAGAGGGAAAATGCAGAAAGTGGGGCAGGGAGGCTGCTCCCTGAAACAGCCGTGGGCTGCTGGTCCAAGCCGAAAGTGTTGCCGGAGGGGGAGAGGTAGGGTGAAATGGGACAGGAAATGAGGACTTCCGATGAGGAGGAGGGGGCAGTGGGCTGTGGGTCTTGGGGACTGAACAGAATGGAGTTTGCTAGACAGAGCTTCCCTCTACCCACTCCAAAAGTCCCGCTGGCCCTCAGCTGGCCCCTTTGAACTGCTGTTGAGGAGGATATAAACACAGGAAGGCCTGCATTCCTGTGGGTGCACAACCCTAAGAGACCATGGACTGTGTCTGTGTGGTGGGAACAGGAAAAGGAGGCTGAGTGTAGCCCTGCTTGGAATTTAGTGTCCACCACAGATATATCCACTACCCAGGGCCAAAGACTCGGCAGCCTCGAAAGTTTCCATGGAAGCTGAGCACAGGACTAGAAAGGGTCATCTCTCTGCATGGAGGGATGACACATGGCAACTAGCTGGGTAATGGGGCACAAAAAAATTAAATGTTTGACATAAAAATGTAATGAGGACCCGAGAGGAGGTGGGTGGTATAATGAACATCCTAGAAGTCCAGTTCAGATTTCGCGTGTCCCCTTCTAGTTCCTTCTCTGCAAATTGAAAGGTGAGGCCAGGGGAGGTGGCTCATGCCTGTAATCCCAGCACTTTGGAAGGCTGAGGTAGGCAGATCACTTGAGGTCAGGAGTTCGAGACCAGCCTGGCCAACCTAGTGAAACTCCATGCCTACTAAAAATATAAAAATTAGCTGGGTGTGGTGGTGCACACCTGACGTCCTAGCTACTTGGAAGACGGAGGCAGGAGAATCACTTGAACCTGGGAGGTGGAGGCTGCAGTGAGCTGAGATCACGCCACTGCACTCTAGCCTTGGCATCAGACTGAGACCCCATCTAAAAAACAAAATTGCAAGGTGAGCCAGTTCAGGCATTCTAGAAGCAATACATTTATAGACAGTAAACTGCACAAATCCTGGGTATAAAGTTGATTGCCTTTTACCTACATAACCACTGCCCATTGACAGCATCCCAGAAAGTTCACTTGCGTCCCTTCCTAGTCTACAGCCACCTGCCTGATACCCTCACTTCTTTTTTTTTTTTTTTTGAGATGGAGTTTCGCTCTTGTTACCCAGGCTGGAGTGCAATGGCGCGATCTTGGCTCACCGCAACCTCCGCCCCCTGGGTTCAGGCAATTCTCCTGCCTCAGCCTCCTGAGTAGCTGGGATTACAGGCACACGCCACCGTGCCCAGCTAATTTTTTGTCATTTTTAGTAAAGACGGGGTTTCACCATGTTGGCCAGGATGGTCTAGACCTGTTGACCTCGTGATCCGCCCACCTCGGCCTCCCAAAGTGCTGGGATTACAGGCTTGAGCCACCGCGCCCGGCCCCCTCACTTCTAAATCCACCGATTAACAGTGTGTCTTGGCAGTTAATATGAATGGGTGTATATGCTCTTTTGCATTTGGCTTTTTTGCTCAACATGATGTCCATGAGATTCAGCGGCGTTGTTGCATCTCTCTGTAATATGTTAAGTGTAGTATCCTTTGTCTGAATATACAATTCATTTGTCTATTCTCTACTGGTGAATAGTTGGGTGTCTCAGGTTTGGAGCATTATAAGCAAAACTGTTGTGCATCTTCTTATACAAGTCTCTTGGTGGAAATCAGCCTCATTTCTCTGGAATGAGTGGAAACTGCTGGGTCAGAGGGTAGATGTTTTATTTAGCATTAGTGGATATTGCCAATTAGGAAGTTGGGAGGTGATTATTACAGTATCTAATATATAAAGAAAGGAGTAGATGGGGAAAGAGAGGAAAGAAAGCTTCCATAAACTACTCCCAGGTCTGATTCTTTAACAAATCTGGAGCACCTCCTCTGCACTGTAAAAGCTGTGGCGTGCCTCCTCCCACGCTTTCATATGGCTTGACTTTACTCACCTGATCCTCACCCCACGAGGGCCTTGCTCTGTGCCTTGCTAGAACTTCCCAGGAGGTTGCAATTAAGGCTTGGCCAGTTAGAACAAACACAAGTGCTGTGCAGGACACATCACTACCTGACTGGCAAATCTGAAAATGCATTCCTCACAAACTGCTAAATGGTGCTGACAGACCCACCCTGTTTCAGCACCTGGAAAGAAATCAGGGTTAAGGCAGCTTTTATACTTCATGCCTCGACAACCTGCATCATCACAGTCTTTTTTTGTTTTTTGAGATGGAGTTTCACTTTTGTTACCCAAGCTGGAGTGCAATGGCGCAATCTCGGCTCACGACAACCTCCGCCTCCCAGGCTCAAGCAACTCTCCCGCCTCAGCCTCCCTAGTAGCTGGGACTACAGGCGCGTGCCATCATGCCCAGCGAATTTTTTGTATTTTTAGTAGAGACGGGGTTTCACCATGTTGACCAGGATGGTCTCAATCTCTTGACCTCGTGATCCACCCGCCTCGGCCTCCCAAAGTGCTAGGATTATAGGCGTGAGCCACCACACCCGGCCCCACAGTCTTTAAAATATATGTAAAGCAACTTCCTCCAGAGGCTCTGGGTGTGTCAGAGGTCCCTGCCCTCTGCTCTCTGCCAGCTTACAGAGAAACAGGCATTCTCCCTTCCAGGTGCTCCTCATTTACACCAAAGAGATCAGTCAACTCCTGGGACATGTGAATGGGAAACCTGAACCCCAAGGGTTGTACTGTGTTCTGGATAATATAACTTGTCTTTCTGCAGAGCAGGTTTTCTCA